CACAAAATGGACTAACACTCCTTTTCCCATGAATGCAAACCTCGGTACCACAGAACTGTGGGCAAGGGACATGCTCTTCACTGGGAGAGAAAGAAATGCCAGAAGTTTCTTTCTGTCAGTGTGCATAACAAAGAGAATTAGTTATTTTTAACAGAAAGGAAGTATCCAGAAGCTTTCTGGGTATAAAAAGCTCCACGAAGTACTGCAGAGAATTAATGCGGAGATTAGTCACCGCCGCTGTTGTTTAGCATGTGACTGAGGTGGATAAATGTTTAATTCATACTTTCTGGACGGTACAGTGACGATGAGACCGAACTGCTTGTGCTTGTGAGAGCTCAGGCCTCCCCCAACCCCTCACCCCACACTAGTTTATAGCAGTTTCCAGAACCATGAGCTGACATCACTGCGGCTCAGCTCTGGGGCCAGAGGGGTCGTGCATGATCTGGTTTCCTGAGGAAAGCAGGGGAGGCTGTGGGGAACGGAGGGACCAGCATGAACAGACGGACGGATGTCACAGCGCAGGGCAGGGGGAGGGACTGCAGCAGGAGGCTGGCCTGGCCAAAGCCCAAGGCAGGGACAGGGACGAGTCCAGGAGGGGCGGGAGGCTTCCGTCCGGACCACTGCGAGAGACTTTGTCCTCATCAGGTACATTGGGTTCCAAGAAACAGCTCCCCCCAGGTCACCACCGCAGAGGGTGGGGTGCTCCCTGGGCTGCCCCGCCTCTGCTTCTGCCCGGCCCCCTCACCCTCGACTGCCATAGCTCCCACTCAGCACTGCGCCTCCTTCCTACCTCATCTGCCTCGTCCGGCCCCTCCTGGCGGAGGGGTTGGAGGGCTGCACTGGACCAGTCTCCTAGGCAGCAGGACAGCAGGGCCTCTCCTCTGTCCCTTTGGGGCTCCCGGCCCAGACTCGGCCCTGAACTCTAGCAAACATCAGTGCCCTGTTATCCTAGCCGACAGGTCCTGGGCACGAACTCTGGCTTTCCTATTGCAAGAACTAACAAACCGTGACAGGAAGTGACACCGTGATGCTAAGTGCTAACAACGTGAGGCCTGCGCAGGACTCTGTCCACCGTCAGAAGAGAAGGCTGTGGAGGGGAAGCAGGAGGAGGGGATGTGGAGGTGCGAGGGAAACTGTAGGACCAGGTGCAGGGTGCAGAGGCGAGGGGAGGCAACAGCAAGAGAACTGGCCGTGTCTGCAGCCCTGTCTGCCCCTCCCCAGAGCACGTGGGCGCTAGGCACTCCAGAGGTGTGAAGAAAATCTCTATCTGCTCTAGAAGTAAACACTAAGAACAAGAAAACTGCTAAGAACAGGACTGCGTTAGATACCAATCTGAGTTGTTTCTAAGTTGTTTTTAAGACTTAGACTTCTGTGTCTACTTTCACTTGAATGAATGAAGTGCTTCTAGGCACCGGGGAGGAGCTCATGCAGAGCTGAGGCTGGATTCGTCTCGGGGTGAGGGACAGGGAGCAGCAGTTCACCTCCATGGGGAGGGTGGCTAAGAAAATGGCCCAGCCCTGGAGACCAAAGGACAAGTGCGCTGGGACCAGGCTGTTTTCTTATGGAGCACCCCCCCGAAATTATTCCGTGCCAGGATTAAGTAGACGCACACTGTCCCTCCACAGCCACCCAAAGGTCGTAAAAGCACACAGAGGCCCAACGCAAAGCAGCTCAACACTGAAGCGCGGCATGTGAATCGGGCTACCACCCACTGGGACAGACAGAGCAGGGGCGGCGGGGGGGGGTGAGGGCGGCAGGGAAGAGCTGGGAGCTGAGCTTCTGTGGGGCTCAACAGCCCATTTCCAGTCCTCTTCCTGGCTCCAAGTAAGGCTTTCTGAACACTTCTCTCTCGTTTACAGGTTTTGTCCTGGTCATTGGGCTGGTGACATTCTACAGAATCGGCCCGTATACCAACCTGTCCTGGTCTTGCTACCTGAACATTGGTGCCTGCCTTCTGGCCACCCTGGCAGCTGCCATGCTCATCTGGAACATTCTTCACAGGAGAGAGGACTGCATTGGGCCCCGGGTGATTGTCATCAGCCGCTCCCTGACCGCACGGTTTCGCCGAGGGCTGGACAATGAGTATGTGGAGTCACCGTGCTGAGCCTGCTCAGGACTTTATAACTAAACAGTATAGAAACTGAAGGGCTGTCTGTGTGGGCGATTCATAGGGTTTCCTATATATACATGTACGATACACAGCTATGTTTACTATATTATATATAAATATATTATGTGGTTATATATTGCCTGCTCCACCTCCTTCTGATGCTCCCATGACTCGGCTTCACTTCTGAGCACATTCCAAAGAGGAGACCAGTGGCTGAGGTGCATGGACAGCGGCAGCCAGCTTGTTCTGCATCTTGGCCTAGGATTAATTTATTCTGTATCTGCTGAGCGGTGGGTCCTTGGTCATATTTACTTTGGTAAAGCAGAATACCCAGGAAGATTTTCTGGAACTGTCTGTGGTCTTCCTTGAGTGACTCAGAATTTACAATCAGATGGTTATGGCTTTATGACAGGATTGTGTTCCTAATGTCTGTTTTGCTCCTGATTATTTTTCTAAGTTAAAATAAAATGCAAACTTCTCACCACTGTGTAAAACTTGTGTTTTATCCATCATACTGCCACACGGGTGAAAAGAAGTTGGTCTATTTTTCTGTCATTTTTGTGGGTTGGCAGGAAGAGAAGGCTTGGTACATTTTTCAAGACCTGGTGGGAACACCGCTGTGGGCCCTTACTCACATTTCCATTCAACTCTGACGCCCCCGTTCCTACAGACTGAACACTGTGGCCCTGGGACAGCAGATCAACAAATGGCAGAGTAGGAGGGAAAAGCATCTATTTATTTAAAGAAAATTCATAGAGATTACTTTATGTTTTTCCCTATAAAAATCTTCAACCTAGCTTCAGCCAGACGCTGGGTGGTCTACCGATGGCCTTCATGATACCACACCGATTCCAAACAACCCTGGTCCTAAATCTGGAAGAGGTGAATCAGCGCCACCTCCCCAGGCGGAACAGAAAACATCAAAGAGCTGCATCTGAGGGGTTCAAACCCGAGGCCGCCCCCAAGAACCCCAGACTGCCTGACCACATTTGTAAGGACAGTCTGCCACCCACACCCACCTGGAAGCTTCCTGGACCCTGCCCTGCCTGACCCTGCGCCACCTGGCGGCAGTGACTCCCACGAAACCGACACGGGGGCCCGTGGGCAGCATGCAAAGCTGGGGGCCGGCCCAGGCCCACTGGCTGCCTCCTCCACATGAGGCTGCCTCCCGCTAAGAAATGTTCAGCCTTGCTGCTTCCGACCTTCCAGAGAGTGTGGTGATCAGTGTGGAGTTTGTCTCCAGTCAGAACAAACAGTGGATTGGGGTTGGTGCTTTAAAAAACCATGCAATTGAGAATGACCTAAAAGCGTCTGTGGCCTGACCATTTACAATAAGCTCATCACACACTGTGGAAATAACAGATTACATCCAACACCAGAGCACTCAAGAAAACATTCAAATCTGACCCTCCTCCCTCAAAGCTTCTGTCCACAAAGGACTCCCCCCGACCCCGAATCACATGCTAAAAATAATAATCTCCTAAAAGAATAATGAAATATTTAAGATATATGACTTCACACTATTACATATGCGACTATGTAAGGGTACATGGAAGTATTCAAGTTGACCCTGTGGTCAGTCATGATCTGTGACTGCGTTTAAATGAAAAGTGACCAGAGGAAGGCTGGATTGTGCCATCTAGATTCTGGTTCATCCCCCCAAACTAAGAGCCCTCTTGTCCACACCCACAGCCAGTGTACAAAAGGCTCTTCCATCACAAACAAGGTTTGGCCTCACTATTTTAGAAATAAGTAAGGGACGAGGGCTTGTGTGCTATTTTTTTTTTTTTAAGATTTTATTTATTTATTTGACAGAGAGAGAGATATAACAAGAAAGGGAACACAAGCAGGGGAGTGGGAGAGGGAGAAGCAGGCTTCCCGTGGAGCAGGGAGCCCAGTGCGGGGCTCAATCCCAGGATACTGGGATCATGACCTGAGCCGAAGGCAGATGCTTAACGACTGAGCCACACAGACGTCCCTTGTGTGCTATTTTGCTTCTGTGTTACAGAAAACTTTGCGGCCAATGAGGGGGCGTTCCGTGGCAGGGCAGGAGGGGCATCTGTTCTAGGTGACTTAATTTTTCGTCTTTTTTCCCATTTTAGTTTCATTCTGCAATAATTTTTCTATTCTTTGGAGATGAAAATTTGTCAAATGCTCTTGAGAAGAATTACTGAATTCTCTCAGGAATGGAGAGGAGGCTGCTTGTAGACAGCCCTTGAGTAAGAATTTCGTTTAGAAAAGGGGCATCTGGGCGGCGCAGTCAGTTGAGCTCTGACTCTTGGTTTTGGCTCAGGTCGTGATCTCCAGGGTCCTGGGATCGAGACCCACATCGGGCTCCCTGCTCAGCGGGGAGCCTGCTTCTCCCTCTCCCACTCCCCCTGCTCGTTCTCTCTCTCTCATAAATAAAATCTTTAAAAAATTTCTTTTAGAAAAAAATTTCTTTAGAACAATATTAATTGCATTTTCACTATACTGTTTTGAGTGTTTGTTATTCAAACCTTCCTGTTAGTAGCAATTATTCCCAGAGGAACAGTTATTACAAATATTTAGCAACTGCACAACTTTCGAGGAGGAAGAACATGGAATGGCTGACAATAAATCAAGCTAGTAGCAGCCCAGGAGTCCTGCAGAGGAGAGCCAGGCTCGCCTGCTCTGCGCGCCCCACCGTGCGGCCACAACACGGCTCCTGGGTGACACAGCATGCCAGTGGGATCCTGCGTCCCCAAGCGCGGCGGCATTTCCGCGGGTGACAAACCATGAAATACAGCACGACATGGTCACAGAAGAGTTACTGATTCTCAGAAGCTCACTTAGAAGGGGAGAGAGACCTAAAGAAAGACCCCGAGAGCCGTGCATATCCCTTTGACACCGCAGGGAGCAGAGTCCTCACCTTTTGATGAGTTTGATAGATTTGAAAGCTTCATCCATGTCTCCGATGGTAACGAAGAAGCTGAAGTGAAGCATGGCATCCCGAGTGGGCTTATCGCAGTCCTCTAGCCCGACGAAGTCTCGCAGGGGTCTCCTGCCCACGCACGGGCACCCTGAGTCCACCTGGTCTTCTCCGTCTGCTTCTCCTGGCTGAATGACAAGGCCACCATTGGCTGTCAGCTCACGTAAAGTGAACGCCTACGCTAAGTCCCTGCCTTGAGAGCTGGTCAGTGTTGGGTCTGTCTGCAAGCAGGCATGGACGCCCAGCAACAGACCCTGCCAAATGCAGCATGAGTTTGTGGGCATCCAAGGTCATCGGAGCTGTTCACTAAAGCCACCTTCTCAACAGTTATGAAATGACTATGCAGACGTCTGCTTCCCAGGTCTGTTCTGCAGACTAGGAAGAGTTTTCATGACCCACACGGACGTGCTCACAGGCACAGAGTCTTAAAATTAAGTGACGCCAAAACGATTTCAGGTAGAAGTTTCCAAAACAATAGCTTGGATTAGTAGTATGCCAGAGAAGGAGGAAGCCTCCACTCTGTAGCCTGTGGTGAGAAGCACAGGACTGGGGATTGGCATCTGGGGTGGGGGCAGGGGCGGCTGGGTGGGGCTGAGGCCCTAATCTGTGGGACCTCACGCTGTTTCTGGGTGGACGGTGTCAGGACTGAGTTGATCATGTTGAGCCCAGAGCTGTAGACAGAAGTGTTAAGTCACTATGTTGTACACCTGAAGCTAATACAACATCAGACGTCAACTGCACTTCAGTAATAAAAGAATTGAATTGAATTGTCAGGCACCCAAATGGTACCTGAGTGATAGCTGAGACTTGCATGGTGCTGTGGGGGAAACCCCTCACCACGGTGGAAGTGGGCCCAGGAATCCCGATCTCATCCTCGCTGCTGCTGTATGACCCCTGCCTCTATCTCAGTTCCCAGCAGCCCCTATCTCACTGCTCCCTCTGCCATTCACCTGCAGTCCCCAACTTTAGGGGGCACTTGACCTGGGCCTTAAAACACGGGTAGGATTTGTCAGACCCAGGTGTGGATGGCAAGACCCTTCCAGGCACAGAGCAGAGCATAAGCAAAGGACCGGGGCAGCCCACCGTCTAGGTGGCTTGAATTCAGGGCTCATGGATGAGCACAGGCTGGGTCATGTCAGGAGGCTGAATGCTACAGAGTTTGCACTGAGTGAGAACAGAAAATGTGTGCACAAAGCACAAGGCAGAGGCCTGACCTCCAACAGGTTGGCCATGCTGGATGGCCATGTGGATCTGATGCTGAGTTCTGATCAGAACCTGGCCCACTGTGGTCACACTTGGGAATTCTCACACAAACAGGAGAGCCTGTGGGTCACCTGCCACATGAACTCGCTGCTGCCCTCGATTTGGAGCCTCATCTCTGTTCCGAGAGGAGGACACCGAGCTGGGGACCTTGGGGGGTCAGACTCGCATCCACACCCTCAAGTGTGCAGGTGGAGAACCTCCAGACACTGGGCTGAAGGCCTGGAATACAGGTCAGTAATCTGAAGAAGGGCAGCTTTTAAAAAAACACAATGCTTCACAGCTATTTGTTACAAGCACTTCAGAGGTTGAATTGATAAGACTTCCTATGTTACCAATCCAGGTAAACAAACTCCTTCCTGCATCACAAACATCAGGTGACGGGCTGCTCACCAGGATGAGGGCTCTACGGAGTGACATGGGCATGCTGCTCCCACCCAGGGGCTGCCGTGGCATCAGGCTCCCTAACAAACCTGCTAACTGAGGCATGCAAGCAGAAAGGACGAGCATGCGGACAAGTGCAGCTTAGAATAAATTAAAACAGAGCCTGGGAACATGGCAAAGTCTGGGGTATAGATGGTAAGTGGGGAGTGGCACTCACAGCGGCACTGCATGTGTCTCCTCTCTGGGACCAGGGGGAGGGTGGGCGTGTGGACACAGAAAGGAGGGCAAAGAGGAGGCCCATCAGCGTATGCAGTGAACCACAGCCCGTGATGGGAAAGTCGTGGGGAAACTCCATAGACAGGACCTTAAACGCCTTCACAACTTTTTGAGTTCTCACCTCGAGGAGAAATGAAAATGCCCAAGGAGCACTAAGTAGGAATGAGGTCCAGAAACAGCGTTTCGGCACTGACAGTTTACAACGAGGGAAGGAAGGAAGGCTGTGTGGACAGAGCCGCCCGCAGCACCACGTAGCCTCGCCGCGGGATGCTTACAGATCAAGGGGCCGTGGCGACGAGGAGGCCAAGCCCAGCGAAGGCAAAGAATTTATTATCCAAAAGAACCGAGGGGCGCCTGGGTGGCTCAGTCGTTAAGCGTCTGCCTTTGGCTCAGGTCATGATCCCAGGGTCCTGGGACTGAGCCCCGCATTGGGCTCTCTGCTCGGCAGGAAGCCTGCTTCTCCCTCCCCCCTCCCCCTGCTTGTGTTCCCTCTCTCGCTATGTCTCTGTCAAATAAATAAATAAAATCTTTAAAACACACACACACACAAAGAACGGAGCTGGGAGTGTGCACCTGTGTGCTGCAAACCACCCCATCTGTCAACACTAAACAAGCACAGGGGGCCACCTCTGGGGCTGGGACTGTGTGGGTCTGCATCGTCTTTGGCCCCTGAGCCCAGGGATCCTGGACACTCCACCTCAGCACTACTCTGTCTTGATAGCAAAGCCAAGTCCTGTAAGTTTCCTGACCTGGAAACCTCATAACTACTGGAGTTTCAGGAAACACATGAGAGCAGATGGCTTGCCTCGCTTAACAAGGGGGAGCCGTGGCACCCTGGAGGCTCCGGGAGACCCCACAGACCCCTGCCCAACAGGGGAGGAGAACCCGAGAACACGGCCCTGTGCTCGTGGGGCTCCCACCTTTCTGATGAAGTAATAATGAGGCACTTCGATCCCCAGAAGATTCTGGTAGGCGGGAGGCCGGGGGAAGCTGTCCTGGAGCAAGAAGCCGTGCTCTTCCGTGACGAAGAAGGACAGAATCACCACGTCTGTCTGCGAGAGAGGGGAAACAGCGCTGTTTCTAGTTCGGCGATACGATTTTCTATTTGGCATCTAATCCCCATTTTCATGGTCAGGATGTTCACACACAACAGAGAAGAAAGGATGAACACGTGAACAGTCTTACAGATAACCCACCTCCCCCTTCTGGAAGGATGAGCCTCATGCAGTCTGAGGGCTGCTAGACCCTTCTCATGGATGGATTTTCTTGCAGCAAAAGCTAATCCTTCCCATCCTGGTTGGTGACTGAAACTAAAGAACCCTTGTGTTTTAAAGTTTTTCTGTTCAGTTCCTTGACTCTGATATAAAAATCAACAATAGGGACACCTGGGTGGCTCAGTCGTTGAGCGTCTGCCTTTGGCTCAGGTCATGATCCCAGGGTCCTGGGATCGAGCCCCACATCGGGCTCCCT